TTTGCATGGCTGTGTTTCGGTTTGAAGTGGTAAATTTACTGGGTCAGCTTATAACACCTGACCCTCATGAATGTCAGTACCATAGACATAACAGATACACTGTTATGTCCACGGTGTTTGTCTATGGCGACGATACCACTTTCCATCAGGTGGACCGTCGGCTTCTTTGCCATTCTAAGTTGTATAAAAATAAAATAAAAAAAAATACAATTGTATTGTTATATTTATTAATTGTATAATGTATAATGCAAATAAAGTATACTCATTCCAAAGCAGTTGAAGTATCTTTGACCGGTCGCTCGGAACTGACTCTGGTGAACGTGATTTTATAGCTTTCAACCACTTTCGAACACAAACGGTTCACACTATTTGAATTATAAGACACGTAAGCATTATTGATCCTTTTAATATCCGGCAATAAACATTTGGCACCGCACGTTTTGCGACTACCAAATGAAGACTATAAAAGGCTTTTGAATTCAATGACAATTTTAACACACTTTCCACATAGGTGGCGTTTTATTGAAATATCTCTGAATCCTGCACGGAAGCAGATGATGGCACGGAAATGAGTTGCGTTTATATTTGTCGATATGAAAATATATCGTGTATTTTAACAACAATTGTAATGAAACGAACCATTGTGATACAAATAAACTTGTACCAAACTGCGGCGACCCTGAATAATTGGAGACTGGCAGTACGACGACGGTGACTCAGCGCTGCATGTTGTTTTATTTACATTTAAGAGTAAGACGTTGTACAAAAGTCGTTTATCAGGTACGTAAGAGGTACCCAAACCTCTGTCCCATTCATATTTCAACAAAGCAGTTGTGTTTGCATGGCTGTGTTTCGGTAAGGGTTTGAATTTATAAGACACCTGAGTCCTCAGGAATGGCAACGCTTGACGAAACAATATATGTACTCTGTTATGTCCATGGTACTACTCACGACGGTTACCACTTTCCATCAGGTGGGTTATCCATCAGCTTGTTTGCCATTGCCAAGTTGTATAAATAAAATATTTTATCCCACTCTTTACTATAAGTGATGTAGCAAAAATAAAGATCGACACAAAAAAGTATAATTATAAGCGGTTAAGCCTCTGTCTGATGGAGGTAAGGGATTGTTGGTAACTGGATCTACGACCTCCATTACTAGTTATATATTTTATCAAGACCACATCTTCGCGGTTCTCCCTGGAAACCATCGTAGATTATTCTTGTGAAATTCGTCACGATGAGCTAACTGACATGCTTCCATCCTCACCTGTCATTTCTCGATGATGCCCCGCCAGCAAATATACTATCGCAGATATTTTAACAACTATTCTCACCTATTAATAAACCATCTGTCTGATGTTACTAAAAATAATAATAAACAATAATATTATGTTTTTTATTATATCCTTTTAATTAAAAAGGAGACCAGTGGTTGCCACGCTTGGCAGGCGACCTGGCAACCGCAGTTAGGCTTTGGTAATAATTTAGGAAAGACTCTGCTGCTCATCTTTCAACCATTAAGTTCCTTTAGTCGCCTCTTACGATTTTTTTTATACGACTTAGAATTGCAAACAAGATGACGGTCCACCTGATGGAAAGTGCTAACCGTCGCCTATAGACATGAACAGTACCGTGGACATAACAGAGTATACTGTTTCGCCCATGATACCCCCCCTGCGTTGCCATTCTTGAAGACTCAGGTGTTATTCCTCTGTACCCAGTAAATTCACGCCATATCACACCCTTCAAACCGAAACACAGCCATGCAAACACAACTGCTTTACGGTTGAAACACGAATGGGACAGAGGTACCCAAGCAATCGACTTTTATACAAAGTCTCCCTCTGGTGACGACACATTTCTGTGGGGGAAAAGAAGGGGTGGCCCATTCTGTGCCGAGATTACAGTGGTCAATCAATCATGTGATATACCTTTACTATGATAATAGATAAAAATTCATCTAAGTATATCGCAGTTGGAAGTTAAATGAAATAATGTTATTGTCGAGAATCAATCACCTACGATTCTTAGATTCCTCTTCAACATTTAAATTAAAAGATTTTTTTTCGTGGATGAAAATGGAATGGTAACCCCGCCTGCGCTAACGGGATACGCTGGCGGAGCACCAGTGAATGATGACCGATGAGAATGAAAACAGGCCAGTTAGCCCATCATGATGAATTCATCAGGAATTAACCATGAATTATCATGGTCCAGGGGGAACCACGAGGAGATCGACCTGGTTGGGTATATTGCTAGCAATGGGATTTTTAGTCTCCATTACTAACAATGCCTTTCCCCCCAATTAAAAGTTTTTTTTTTAATGGATGATAATGGAATGGTAACCCCACCCGCGCTATCGGTATACACCGGCGGGGCACCAGTGAAGGATGATAGGTGAGGAGATGAAGTAGGTCAGTTAGCCCATCGTGACGAATTCAACAAGAATTGTTCACGATGGTTTCCAGGGGGAACCGCGTGGAGGTCGACCTAATAAGGCATATTGCTAGCAATGGGGCTGTCAAACTCCATTGCTAATAATCCCTTTCCCCCAATTAAAAGATATTAATAAAATACATACGTGGCGAATAAATAAATAAGTGCGGTTTGTTAGTTTTAGTAATAGAATTCAGTGGAATGCTTTTAGCATAGAAATTAAAGAAGTCTGTGCAATTTTTAAAGGCTTCATTTGCATCGTACGCTTCGGACAGCGAGTAGGAACAGTTCCATTAGAGCGGGCGAGGGCGCGGCGGCGCGGCGGCGCGGCGTCGGGGCCGGATAAATTCGCTTGTCCTAAACTTAATGAGAGTCGGGAGAACAAGCGACTGTAGGTTAGTACCCAATGCAGATGTAAATTTGCCAAGAATAATCACACTATTTTTACGCGACTTAAAAATAGAGGCTCCCAATTTGTCTATGTCTATTTTTGTGAATGCGTAACGTAATTCTGAAGCGATATTAATAATGTTTTAGAATCAATGCATTGACTTCCATATTGGGTTCATATTAATTTTCGGACAATTAAGAATGTTGGGGGGATGAAGAAAAAATGGTTCTTGAATGGTGATCTAGTATGAGCAAATGCAAGGAAGTAGAATAGTGAATGCAGATGGCTCATGACCAGCCTCAGGTGGTCTATGGGGGAGACCTATGTTCAGCAGTAGACAGATAACGGCTAAGATGATGACAAAAGATTGATATATTTTTTTTGTAAAGCAAAGCAATATTTAGTGATATTGACACATTACACATATAACGTTCTAAATTCAAATATTTTTAATCTATTGTAATATTCAATAACACATCTCGTCGTTCTTTAGCGTTTTTTTTTTAATATGCCGCAGTTAATCTACATAAGTCTATATTTTATACAATGTGGTAAAGTTTAAATTAAAAACATTATAGGATTTTAATTAATGTTTCATTTTATTAGCAATATTTTGATTAATAAATTACTGAAGTAAATCACTTGTCGAAACTGGAACTAATATATTGGAGTCAAGACATAAAAGTGTTCTTATTGAGAGTATTCTATAAAACTAGAAATATCAAATTAAAACTTAAAGATAACATACATATATACATACATATCTGTCACGCCTGTTTCCCATTAGGGTAGGCAGAAACAATGGAACGCCAAATGCTTCGATTCAAACAAACCACTTTCGCTTCTTCCACATTCATCAATCTTTTCATACACGCTCGCCGGTTACGGGTACTTTTAATTTGGCCCTTCTTCAGCACGTCGCTTATTTGGTCAACATACGTCCATCTAGGTTGGCCCCTACCGACATCTCCATTCATTCTTGCTCGATAAATCTCTTTCGTAATTCTTCTTTCATCCATCCTCTCCAAATGACCAAACCAACGCAACATTCCTTTTTCGATTTTTGTCAAGAAAAGATAAACCCGTGCATTTTAAAGCTACGCTTCTATTCTTAATAATATGTTGATATTATTAAAAGCAGATGCAAATAACAAAAATATTAAAAAATAATTATGTTGCAAGGATTCGAGCCACAAAGAGGCCATTCTATATTTTGATAACTAGACCTTATTCTATGTACAATATTATGTTAGGTAAAAAAACCCATAATTAAGCTATTAATGATTTCTATTTGCTAATTTTCACAATTTCGTTATGTTACTATCTGCCCATTTGCCAACTCAGACGTATAATAAAGACTTGCAATTTAAATTTATCAAACGCACTTTTCCAGGGAATTTCCTTAACGGTTATTCAAATATATTTCTTCAAGTTTCAAGTAACATCTAAGTCCAGAATTCAGATCCTTTAAATGCATTTAAATTAGAGTCTCCACTGGAACTGGACAAGTTGTAATTGGACGGCGAGTTGGCCGAACAGATGTTTGACGAACATACAACTTTCAAGTTTAGGATTATCTTATTAATTATATCAACTGTGAGTTTCTCCTCGTGTTTTCATACAAATATATAATGATTGTTACAAAATTGAAAGTGTATTTAATTATATTAAACGTACCAGAAAGAAGGACTTCAATTGAATGAACGAATATAAATTTGTGAGCTTTGAGAAGTATGTGTGGTATTACATTAAAAGATAAAGTAAGAAATAGTGTGATTAGAGAGAAGTATGGACTGAAAGACGATGTAGTGACAAAAATCGAAAAAGGAATATTGCGTTTGGCCATTTGGAGAGTATGGATGAAAGAAGAATTACGAAAGAGATTTATCGAGCAAGAACGAATGGAGATGTCGGTAGGGGCCGCCCTAGACGGACGTATGTCGACCAAATAGGCGATGTGCTGAAGAAGGGCCAAATTAAAAGTACCCGTAATCGGCGAGCGTATATGAAAAGATTGATGAATGTGGGAGAAGCGAAAGAGGTTTGTTGGAATCGAAGCATTTGGCGTTCCATTGTTTCTGCCTACCCTAATGGGAGATGGGCGTGACAGATATGTATATGTAATCTACAACACTTACGACTGTCAAATTTACATGCAAAAAGGCACTTACCAAGTTTATCCTGTAGAACTGTCTTAGTGTCACAGTGGACGAGACACACTATGAGGAAGAAGGCCACGTGCACCGCCATGCTGCCACTAGTGGGGGGCAATCACGTGAGCGGGGCGGATAGGGGCGCCCGGCCACTCGTGTCTAGACGACGCATGCCTCACAACTGAAAAGAAAATAAACACATTAGAAATGGATACCAGCAAAACAGAACTGATTGAATAAATATATAAATGCCATTGGACATATCGCAGAGCGCCATCTAGGCACAAACTAAACAGAACTTGTATTATTGATGTTAGAGGACTATCTTTTCGAAAATATATACATTTTATACAAAGAAAGCACCCATATTTATGAATTTCCAGCTTTGCCAATAGTTGTCACGCTTGGCAGGCAGGTTGACAACTGCAGTTAGACTTTCATTGATGTTTTAAGAGAGACGTTACTGCCCATTACTCCACCATAAGCTCCTTTTACGGCTCTTATGGAAAAAAAAGAGGTGACCTCTATGTCAGGATCCACACGTCTACTGGACAAGAATACATACATATTGAACATAAATAAATAAATAATAGTTTATTTTGCAAAAGAGGTTCATACAGAGTAAAATAACATGTGTAGGAGGTGAAAGTGTTACGCAATCTCTTTTGAAATAGTCCCAGCTGCATGCTGCAGCCGAGCAACTACGGTGCTGATTTTCAAGTGCCAGTATATACCGATAAATCAGGCGATACTATCATTCTATTTTCACCCATTTAAATAAAGCCTTGTAATCTTGGCTCAAATAAAGAAAAAGTATTATATATACCAATCTAGGATATAGTTTTTATATGATATACCAAATTTCATTAAAATACCTTCAGCTGTTAATATTCGATTGAGTAAAAAAACATCAGAATGTCTTCACAAACTTTGCCTACGTCTAATAATATTGTACGAACAACTTTACACAAAAATAAAACTTAGAAAAGTCACGCAGTTAATTTAGATTCCGCGTGTGACAGACTGCCAACCTACGTTACGTTAACCTGACTTCCTTTCACGTATTTTGGATGGGTTTTACAATAAATATTTTCTTTATAGATTCACTCTTTAGGTGGTGGATTGAAACCTGGCACTCTTTTAGTGCGAATATTGACTGGCTGTAAAGCCACGACATAAGCTACTTATAGAATGTAATTTCTTTTCAATGTCTCGAGAGGCTTTGCCTTCTACAATGTTTCATATATGAGCTTAAATATACGTACAGTAAATGTTTCGATCTGAAGAGTTGTTACGTAATATGAAACATTACATAACCATGCATAGAACTTGTTCAAGTTTCTCTCACTTATAAATAACATAATAATGTCTCTATACATGTAGTATGCAAGTTTGTTCATAAATGTATTATCATCCTCAGAGATCTCTTAAATCATAATAATATAAATTATTCAGTTCCATTATTAGACATAGATTTTCCAAGAATTAAGAAAGAAAATAATGTACTACTTCACTGGCTAATCGGCTTGGTAAAACATTTTATTTCGAGTGCGTTTGCATTCACTTTTTGCATCCTTGGCATCATAAATATCCTGAATACAAAAAAGAGCATATTCCTTTATAAAAGGCCGGCAGCACACCTGCAATGCCCTTGGTGTTGTGAGTGATCATGGGCGGCGGTAGTCACTTAACATCACGTGAGCCGCATAGCATGCTCGTTTGTCCCCTGCGTTGTAAAAAAAAAGGACTAGCATATCGTATTCTTACGCAATTATCACACAAAATGTGATGATTCTATTGTGTAACGGCCCAATAAGATCGTGTAAACTTAGTTGAGTAAATAATTACTAATAGGTCGAGGGTACATGTACGATGTAATATGCACTACTGTGAATATACTCTGCGTACAATAAATTCATAATAATAGATTTCTTGAAAAACTGCATTATTTATTTAATCCAATAGAGACTTATCACTGTATATAGTGCATTAGGTAGGTAAATAGTGTACAGATCATCAGATTTTATAACTTTATAGAATATCAAACAGAATACATTGTTGAACTCCCAAAATTTCAACGCAAAGAAACAGCAATTACTCACGATCTAATTCAATATAAATACAGACTAAAAGCATCACATGTAACCAGAACAAGCAAACGATGAATAAACTATGAAGACCAAATAAAATTTTCACAAGCCGCAATGCGCGGCTGCCAAGTGAGCCGGCTCCCCGCGCCGGAAATTTTAAAAAGAAATTAACCCGGTCGCTTGCCATCTCCTGGACACGGTCACACGCCAGATTTTATTAGCTCCATGAATAAATTTCACCACGGGGGACACTAGCACCTCGTAAATTATAAAGCTTTAAACCTAACACGATTTACTGCCGGGCTAGCTTTCAATATGATAAACAGGAGCGGTACAAAACGTGCAATGGTTGTCATGTTAAATGATATCAACGGGACATCAAAGGTTGCGGGATAGAAGTTTATTGTGTCTGCGAGTCATTTTATGATCTTCCGTATCTAACAGTAACTATGATGTTTAACGACGTGTGGTTTATGTTTATTAAAAACTTTCAGGGTGAAGCATAAGTTTATCAATCCCTTTTGGTGTCATTGAAGACATGCGATGTAATGGAATTATAAATGTCGCAGTATAGTTCAAATAAGATGATCGATAAAGGTCTGACTGATATTACAATATAATTCATTCAATGCTGAATACTCTTTTGAATATTAACTTTTAGATTTATAAGTCCATAGTTTATGATTTATAAGTGACGTGAATTACTTATTATTAAGACTGTGAAATCTCTATGCTTTTAAATCAAGTAAGACCCAATACAGACCTAGACTAGAATAGCTAGTAATAATAATCAAAGCAGAATTCTAATAACAATGTCATTAATTGAAAATTTTTTTAAATATTGCATTAAACTATTATATAAGACTAACTTCATAAAAGAGTTTAGCTAACCGATAACTTTTATATCCTACTCTAATATTGTCCACAGTGTTATAATAAAAATAATTGAAAAGTTTAAATAAATTTCTGAAGATTTATCTTACATCGTTAGCATCTTAAAACATATTTAAACATTACATATGCCAAATACCTAGTTTTATTCTAGAAGCATTTTTAATTGATTTTTTTTTTATACAACTTAGAATAGCAAACAAGCTGACGGGCCATCTTGTGGAAAGTGGTAACCTACACCTATAGACATGAGCAGTACCATAAACATAACAGAGTATGCTGTTTCGCCCATGATACCCCACATGCGTTGCCATTCCTGAGGACTCAGGTGTTATTCCTCTGTACCCTGTAAATTCACGCCATATCCCACTCTTCAAACCGAAACACAGCCATGCAAACACTTTTACGGTTGAAACACGAATAGGACAGAGGAGCACAAGCAAACGACGTTTGTACAAAGTCTCTCTCTGGTAAAAAATAATTACATGATCTCAATGCATTGGGACGTTCCTGAATGCTACTGCAGTTACATTACTGTCAGTATTTGGGAAACGAAAACAACAGTAACAAGCGTAGCTGGTATCTGCTGGTAAAGAACATAAATCTCTAGTTAGAAAACGAATTTTGATCCTACGGTGGTTTTAGGTAAACGTTTTGGTTAGAATTTTTTAAGCGACTTAGAATGGAAAACGAATTTACGGATGGCCCACCATAAACAGGATCATGGATATAAAAGAGTATATTGGGTGTTAGAATGAATGATAATGTTGAAATCAAATTTATTTTTATAGGAGTTTATAAATAAATTCATTACTTATTAGCACCACAATATTTCAAACAGTTATAATAAAATTTATCATATACAAGTTATCGTAGATGTTTTGGTGGGCTTACTTTGCTAACTTTAAATTCTAGTTACGTGGACAAAGTCACGGGCATAACTACATATAACCCTTATTTTTATCGCGAATTTATGGTTTAACGGCACATAAAAATACTCAATATGTGAATGTTTTCCTCTTGCCATAAACAAGTTGATGGATTGTGATATATGTACCATAACATGTCAATGCTCCTATCTAATTCTTATAAGTGTTATTATTATAAAAACTCATACAGAATACGTTGATAGATATTATTTGTATGTTGTATTTTGTTAAAATACATGCGGTATTCTCATTTTATTTGTATTTTCGCTGATATCAATTTAAATATATGTCTATAAATTTGAACGAACTAAAATTTGCGAAGTCCTTTGTAAAGTTTGCTAAGGTTCACTACATGATAGCTCCTCAAAAGCTTCCTTTGAGTAATACAGGATCGAAATCTCTTTCCGTCTAACTAACTATAGTTCATTCATTGTCATAGATACAAGTACACCAGTACTTCATTAACTAGATTGTTCTCCGGAGTTCTCTATTTAAAGTTTTCAGCTAACTTCAAAAAGAAGAAGTTTCTCAATTCGGTTGTCTTTTTTTTATGTTTGTTTCTTCATAACGTCTATAGTTCTAAAACTTAAAACTTAGGAAAGTCTTTTTTAATCTCTAAGAATATACATACAGGTTTAAATTTTATTAAAATCGGTTCAGTAATTTAGTTTTTAAATCAAAACAAATGGTTTTGTCTCAATTGAAGTCTTTTTTTTTTTAAGAATTTTTTTGTGGGACAAAACCTTTAAAAATAAATACTTAGCTAATTAGACGAATTTAAGGAAAATAGTAAATTTGATTATATATATATATATATATATATATATATATATATATATATATATATATATATATATATATTATTTTCAAACATCTGCGCTCTTGTCGGTTGAAATCTTGCTTCTAAACGATTCTCAGCGAATCTCCTCACTTCTTCATACGACACGATACCAACTTTTTCCTTGATCTGCCTGATGTAACTATGCCTTGATCTAACTCTTCCCCCACTTTCTTTTAGCATCAAGGATCATAAAACATTTTCGTTATAATAAATAATCTTTCGACCAACATATAATATTACCAATATATTACCAGAGGGAGACTGTACAAAAGTCGTTTGCTTAGGCACCTTTGACCTATTCGTGTTTCTATCGTGAAGCAGTTGTATTTGCATCGCTGTGTTTCGATTTGATCATTGGGATATGGCAGTGAAATTACAGAATACAGAGGAAAACACCTGAGTCCTCGGGAATGGAAATGCATCGAGGATA